ATTTAAAAACTGCATTTTGTGTTTACTTGTGTTATCTTTGTCTAATATTTAAATTTGTTTGATGATCTGAAACATTTAATTGTGACAAACATGCAAAAAAATAAGAAATCAGGAAGGGGGCAAACACTTTTTCACACAACTGTACATACATACATACATACATACATATATATACACACACACACACACACACACACACACACATATATACATATATACACATATTCCAGGTCTCTATGAAAAGACTGAGACGGCTCACTTCATCACTGTGAGTCTCACACAGACACGCCCCCTCAGTGAGTCTCACACAGACACGCCCCCTCCGTGAGAGTCATACAGACACGTGCTGTAGATATGCCCCCTTTCCCCAGATAATGTAGATATATTCTCATCTTTATTAAAATGAATATCTTAAATATTGTGGTTTTTATGTAAGACCATAGCCCAAAGTTATTTGCTTTAAGTGTTATTGAAGTTCTTTAATTAATAAATGGAAAGCAAAATTATATTTGTCTCCTCCCCTTTTCTTTGCTGATCCGAAAAATTATCCAAACCGTGAGGTTTGTGATCCGTTGCACCCCTAATATATACACCCAAATACACATATAAATATAAATACACATAGCTCCGACCCTAAAGCATCCCCTGCTTTATGGTCTATTAGAGACCTGTCAATCACTGTGTAGCCCCGCCCTAAAGCATCCCCTGCTTTATGGTCTGGTAGAGACCCGTCAATCACTGTGTAGTCCCGCCCTAAAGCATCCCCTGCTTTATGGTCTGTTAGAGACCTGTCAATCACTGTGTAGCCCCGCCCTAAAGCATCCCCTGCTTTATGGTCTGTTAGAGACCTGTAATAAATCATTTTATCAGACTTCTTATGCTAGCATGAAGCTAACGTCATGCGTGTATATAAATATATAATGTATTAATATACACAGATACTTCATTATCAAAAGCTCAGATGAGACCAAACGGAGTCGACTGTTTGATGCAGAAACACCAGAAGAAGAATGACATCATCACTCCACCGAACTCACACACACACAGGTTAGCTGACCCCGCCCTTCATCACTAGAAACATGAAGGTGCAGGCAGCAGCTGCTAACTGGTTAGCATGGCTTAGCTTAGCATAGAGACTGGAAACAGCCATCTCTTATTTCTTGATAAACCAACCAGATGAAAGTGTTAATCAATAAGTTCAGAGGAGCTTCTGATCAGATCAGTTTTCTCTCAATGAACTATTGAATCAAAGATTAAAAATAATAACAAAGATACTATGTGGTACACACAATCTACTGCACTTCTATGTATATCAACAACACATAGAATGAAGTACAGTACAATAGGTACAATATGTACCTCTGAGATGTCGTACAGTAAAAAGTACTATATGTACCTCTGAGATGTCATACAGTATAAAGTACTATATGTACCTCTGAGATGTAGTACAGTAAAAAGTACAATATGTACCTCTGAGATGTAGTACAGTATAAAGTACTATATGTACCTCTGAGATGTAGTACAGTAAAAAGTACGATATGTACCTCTGAGATGTCGTACAGTAAAAAGTACTATATGTACCTCTGAGATGTAGTACAGTATAAAGTACAATATGTACCTCTGAGATGTAGTACATAGGTATCTACCGGGAGATTTGTTCTTACCGATGCTAGTTAACTATCTATTGTGAGATCTGAAGAACCTATAAAACTCTCTCGATGGGTACGTTTGATTTCCCTACCTGTGAGAGGAGGGTTGGGGTTAGATAGATAAAGATATACAAGAGGAAAGATATCCTCACTAATGGCTCTAAAACCAAGATGGAGTCTCCGTCCTTCATTATTCATGTTAATGAGAGTCGTCTGGTAGAACAGCTGATCATTGTTATTGATGAGCAGTAGTTTGTTTCTGGAACTCATCTGAAACCAGTTTTTACAGGAAGCTGCTGTTTATTTACAGGCCGACCTGTAAACAGACTCTGTGTCAACATGTAAACAACAACAACATTATTATATAATTAAACTTCCTGTTCCCATTATCAACGTTTCCTGTGACGTTCCCGTTCCACTAATATTGATCGTTCCTGTGAATGTTCCCAGAGGACCTCTACTTCCTGTTCCATTAATACTAATGTGTTCTCCAAGTATAGCAGAAACAAAGACTGTAAGAGAACCTTCTGTGGTCCAACATAAGGTTCTCTTTTCCTACACTGTCTGTAGTCCCCAAACCCCTCTCAGTTTATTGACTTAACTGGTCAAGAGAACTTTAAAAGAATGTTAAATAAACATCAAGAGAATGTCAAGAACGTTAAAAGAACGTCAAGAGAACGTAGAGACAAACAGTTTGTTCTGGAGATGATTCATCCACAGAGTTGATCTGTTAACTGTTGATTAATTGGTCCATAAAACGTTAGAAAATAGTAAAAACGAGTCCTTTAAAAGTTCCCTATGTTTAATAAATCAAACTACAGAAGGACCAAAGATAACGAGGAGTAACAGGAAGTGATCAGTTATTGATTATCAGTGTTTCTGATCAAATCAATCTTTAAACGTTTGGATTCTCTGAACTTTAGAAAAATATTTTGATTTGTGTTCACAGATTCAGGTCAACAGAAAACACAACACCACCTACTCAGGAGGTTTAAGGAGGACCCAGACGGGTCTAGACCCGTCCGGGTCTGTCTGGGTCCTCAGAGTCTATCCGGCCTGCTGAGCCCCCCCAACGCCTGGGACAGCAGCTGGAGGCCGGACACATCCCGCTCATTCTACCGCTACAAAACACACACACACACACACACACGCACAGACAGAAACACACACACACACACGCACGCACGCGCACAGACAGAAACACACACACACACACACACGCGCGCGCGCGCACGCACACGGCCACGCCTGGTTCTGCCTCCATGCATCATGGCGCACCGTTATTCTCCTCCATCCTCCTGCCGACTTTAATGGCTGCTAAGCGGGCTGAGGAGCATCGCGGCCCGGATACAGAGAGCGGAGATCAGGGCCTTCCTGCAGACCGGACCGGGGCCTCCGGACCAGAGGACTTTATCCAGCCCCAGACCCGAGGCTCCTCCGACGGGGGACGTTTGCGGAGGATTCCGTGTCGCTCCGCTCCAATCACAGCTCAGCGACAATAGAGACCAGTACAGACCAGCAGAGACAAACAGGAGCTGCTTACCTGCTCAGAAGATCTCAGCGAGTCTGCAAACTTCAGCCGAGGACGAGAGGAGTTCGACGGGAGGACAGACAGACAGGAGGGGGATGCTGCTGCTGCTGCTGCTGCTGCAGGGAATGACGGGAAAGAATCCGCACTGCCCTCCTCCTCCTCCTTTCCTCCTCTGTTGCGTTCAAGGACAGCTCTGAACTATGAGCCCCACTAACAATGGAGCAGTTTAAGTCCTCTGGCGCCTCCTGCAGGCTGATACAGGTCACGCGTCGTCTCTAATTCATCCTCATGACATCATGATTTGTTGATATTGGCCACAAAAACATAAATAATTTAAATATAAATAAATTGGACTGTAATCATCTCAAAAGAACACAATGACGTCATGAACGAGATATATTTTAACTACGTGGACAGAAAAATGTGAACAGTACAGACTTATGTTTGGGTTTGAAACCAGAAGTGACCTTACGCAGCGGGAACATTACTCTGCGCTTATTAATAATTCATGAGCTCTTAATATGACCTGCAGCCGCTGAGCCTCATGGGTAGTGTAGTGTTTAGTTCTACCAACCAGTGAACAGGAAGTGACCATATTAGGACGTAGAGACACCGTATACATCTCTGGTAGAGACCTGTCAATCACTGTGTAGCCCCGCCCCTAAAGCATCCCCTGCTTTATGGTCTGTTTGACTCTAAATGGACCATAATGTACTAAATGAACATCATGCTGTATTGAAGACTTGAAACTAGAGATTGAGACCATAAACTCATGTTTACAATGTTTACTGAGGTAATAAATCAAGAGAGAAGTAGAGTCATTTTCTCATAGACTTCTATACAACCAGAGGAGTCGCCCCCTGGTGGTCACTAGAGAGAATGCAGCTTTAACACATGAAGAACTGGTGGTTTGTCTCCGTTTTAACAGTTGCTGAGGCTCATGGGTAGTGTAGTGTTGAGAGAAAGCTTTGAGCTTCCTGGAGGAATCGGTCGATACGATCCTGAACATGAGAAGATGTAAAGTGATGCGAGCACTCAGCTCCTTAATGACATCTGATGGAAAAACACTGAGACCATCCGATCGCTGGCGTCAGTTGTTTTCATATTAGTCAATAAAAACATTAAGAAGCTCATCCTCCATTTAGTGAGTTAGACTTCACTTCAAACACACCAGAAACATTTAGCTTTTATTGAACTTTGAGATAAATACAAAACAAACGAGGATCACAAGCAGTCAGAAGTCCAACCACTCCGTCATGTAGATGCAGTTAGACGGAGAGATTTCTCCTCCTTCGTGACAGTCGTCAAACACCTGAGGACAGAGAACAGGAAGTCAGGGTTCACCCCCAGAGGACACCCACCACGACCCAGTCCTTCACAATAAAAGCACGTGTTACCGGGCAGAGTCCGCAGGGTGTCCTGACGAGGCCCGTTGGTTGGATGACGGCGTTGACGCCGCGGTAGAGTTTCATCTGTCCGTCCACGCTGCCCACCGTTCCCTCCTTGGCGGCGATGATGGTCATCTCCACCTTCCCGTCGTAGATCAGCGTGTTCAGGATGGTCTCGATGTCGTCCATGGACAAGTCCACCTGTCACACACGCCTGTCAATCAAACCTGGAGCAGCTTATTTATACTCAACTAAAGACAAGAGTCAAAACGTCACATTCAGATATCAAGTAAAACGTGTGTGTGACGTCATAAAAGGGGGCGGGACTGTGAGAGCATCACCTTGCTGATTCCCAGCTCACAGATGTACTTCCACACTTCATGCGAGGTGGCGAAGGAGCTGTTTCTCTGAACCATGGGGCTCTGTTTGCTGTCCCTCGCTGCTTCAGCCTGAACACAACACAGATACGGTGAATACGGTGCAACAGCGGCTAAATATGGTGCAACAGCAGTTAATCAAGTATTCATAATACCATTATAATATACATTGAGTACTTTTACTTTTGGTGCATTAGGTATACTTTGATGCTGATACTTTTGTACGTTGTTAATCAGTACTTCTTCGACTAAAGACTTGTGATTGAAGGATAATTAGATTTGAATACAGTAACTTCACAGTGAGACTCTCTGCTGCCACCTGCTGGTCTGAGACCGAACTCAACTCTTAAAACCTCAAGCTCTAGCCCAATTTGTAGGCCTCTGCTCGAAAATGACATACCCATACCAAAGTGACCACAGTTCTGTAACTACAAGGTCTATTTTAATAATTTTTGATGCAATAATCAGATCACAACACTTGTGAGGTTGTTCAGATGGGTAAATATTGTGTATATGTTGCTGGTTAATATAGTAATGAAGACATTACACAGCTCAAATTGAAAATATTCAGGTTCGCCTGAAGAAAAAGCACTTTCATTGATATTATGTTTTTGAAATAATGCAGATATCTCCCTAAAACTCTCCCAAATCATAGCACAACCTATGTATGTATGATCAGTAGTCGTAGAATAACGTTTGGCTGGGATAAAGTGAAGAATAAGAGGCTTCAGTACAGAGAGGTCACGCGAGGTCATCATTTTCGAACCAGCTGTTGCAGCTCTTTCATTGTACTTTTATATACTATATATTTCACTTTTTTATCACTCATATTATTCAATACATCCAAATACAGATGTTAGGAATCATTTTGAGATTGTCAAATTTGGTGTTGATTGACAGAAGTTTCAGCCAGTAAAGTTGCAAGAAGTGCCGCGTCTCCCCGAGAGTAAATTTCCGCTCGCCGGAAGTCTGACCGCTCGCCCATGGTGGATTGACCGCTCTTATTCTGGAAACAGCTCGGAAGTAAACAGGATGCAGTTGGCAACAATGATTCCGGCTTTGGACCGGATAATCGGCGACTTTATTGTACACATTTTTCATAAAACGTGACCAATAACCCACGATTTTTTTCGGGGAAGGGCAGTGCCATCTTACCGTTCTCCACTCACAGCTTTGTACTGCTTCCACGGAGAGAAAAACCGAAGATATTTATGTGTTCGGCGACGAGTGCTAATGCTAAAAAATGCATTGCAATGCTAGGTAGCCGCTAGCATCGTGGTGCAAATATTGATTT